GCGGTGTCCAATCGTGCGGTGTCCAATCGTGCAGTGTCCAATTGTTCCGTGCCCAATACTACGTGTCCAATCGAGCGGTGTCCAATCGTTCCGTGTCCAAACGGGATACGCCCGTTTTTTGGTAGTGGAGCCATCCACGCATACACTTTTCCATCCATACAATTGTAGGGTGGACCTCGTTTTGCGTTGTAAAGTATATGCGTGGACACAGTGGGTTCCGCCCCTCCTGCAGGGGTGCTCCACTTCCGGAAGATACAACCTAACCCAAACCAATTGTTGTGTCGGTGGGCCATACAATGGAATTCACGGGATGCACGAGGAGAGGTGGAGTCTCTCCCCCGAACAGGCATTTACATAAATATGCAAATATGCAAATAATATGGTATTTATACTAGGTAAAGTTTGAAGTATGCAGTTAAACACATGTTTATATTGTCAACTTTATTTGTTGATAACTTTTTAAGGAACAACGACCGCCGGCTAAAATATTCCGAAGGTTATTCAGGACATTGACCTTGACAACATATTTTAAAATCAAGGTCATTGGTGAGGTTACCCTTTTTCTAGACCTTTACCAAAAGTATTCAGTATAAATTGTGATCATCAGTTAAAGAAAAATCGAGGTTCTTACTATTTTTAATTTAACAATAATTTTAGTTGAACGGAAGAAATATAGAAAATATTACTGTATACATTTCTATCTCGCGACGAAACAGCACGAGCTAGTCGCGTGCGAGTGCGTGCGCATATACCGATAAGTGGGTGCATTACCGAGGAATCGGAAAACTGCCAAAAGTCGAGACAGTTGTTAAATTAGCATCGTGAACTTGAGTTTGATTTTGCGTGACGTGGACCCGGAGTCCTAGTGGTAATTATTTTCTTGGCTGGCGTGCGCTCGGCGCTCAAAGAGGGTTGTATTCGTGCACCGCCGCTCTGTGCTGCACTCATTAACTAAAGAAGTAATCAGCAAACGTTTTAAATTTTTGTGAATTACATTATGGTCCTTCGAGCCGGATGAGTGCGCGTTTCGAGCGGTGCAGTTGTCGCGGGTGATTGGCAAGCCGGTCGAGTGTGCGTTGGTCGGGTGGACAAGGTATCGGACTTAATGAGTCAAGCTTCTAATCGCACATTTAACGACCAGACATTCAAGGTAGACGAGAAGCTTTGAGAACATTCGATTCGCAACCGTTGGTCGTGTTGTGCGTGATCGTCCTTGCTGAGCGCGAGTTTTTGCCCCCGTGATATCGGCGTGTTCGTGTTGTCGCTTTTTTCTTCGGCGTTTCGGTGATATTCTCACCGGTGTCGATTGCGAAGCCGACGCGATTGAGTTGATTTCACAGTTGGACGCCTTGTTGCGCGAGGGCGGTTTTGAGCCTCATAAGTGGCGTTCAAATTGCGAAGGAGTTGTGCCTGAGCAGCGGGCCGCCGATTGAGTCGGGGAGTCTGTGTTATCAATTGATACGGGTGTCATAAAAACGTTGGGATTGGGTTGGCATCCCGGATCGGACGTGTTTCAGTTTTCAATCGAGTCTATAACAAGTTCAGTTACAACTAAACGCGAGGTTTTGTCAACGATTTCTAGGTTGTTTGATCCGCTCGGATTGGTCGGTCCTATTTTGACTCGAGCTAAATTGATTATGCAGGAAACGTGGTCGTCGAATTTGGGCTGGGACGAGCCATTGACGCATGGTCTTCGTCAGGCGTGGGGCGCGTATGCGGAGGACTTACGGGAGATCAGTACAATTCAAGTTCCTCGCAGAGTCATTCGGGGCTCCAGTGCAATCCGTTTCAATCTACATGCATTCTGCGACGCATCGTTAAGGGCTTACGGAGCTTGCATTTATTTACAAACAATTGATTTAGATAATAATTCCAGTTCTTCCTTGCTTTGTTCAAAATCACGTGTCGCGCCGGTTAAAAGCAAGACGATTACATTGCCTAGGCTGGAGCTGTGCGGGGCTGTCGTTCTCGTGAAATTGCTTCAGAATGTTAAGAGGGCTCTCAGGATGGAATTCAGTGAGATACATGCGTGGAGTGATTCTACGATAGCGCTGGCATGGATAGCCGGCGATCCGTCGCGGCAGAAGTTGTTCGTATCTAATCGAACGGCCGGGTTTCAGTCAATTCTTCCTTCTGGGTATTGGCACCACGTTGACGGAGATGAGAATCCCGCGGATCTAATCTCAAGGGGTACGTGTTTAAAGAATTTAAAACAGAGTAGGCTTTGGTGGGAAGGCCCCGAGTGGTTATCGCATTCCGCCGGTTGCGAGCGGCATAAGTCGGAGCAGGCGCGCCTCACCGAGGATGACAAAAAAATGGTCCGTGCTGAACAAGTGTCGGGCGTACGAGTATTCACGTGTAGTAGCGATTCAAATCAAATCATAGAGTCTCTATTGAATAATTATTCTTTGCTGTCGAGGATCGAACGCATTCTGGCTTGGATCGTTCGATTCGTTTTCAACATAAGGTCAGATCGCGAGAAGCGCAAATTCGGGTGTCTATCGATCAGCGAGATTCGCCATGCGCATATATACTTATATATAATCAAATATATAAATATTTATGGGTAATTATTTATTATAACGGACCCAGCTCCAATGATGTTGACCTTGACATATGTTGTCAAGGACGTAATCCTGAGTAACTTTTCCTTATAACAACATTTTTTGCTTGTCAAGTGATGGAAAGGTAATTCCTTCTCTTTTAAAGCCATCGCAGTTGGTTTTACTATAGACAAAGGTTGCATAGATTCTTCTTGCATCCTTTGCTTTTTGTAGGTACACTACTACAGCTGCATCACCACGCATGTAACCAGAGCCTTCTTCATCGTAAGGTTTACAATAGCCATCATTAGATAAAACTCCTAAAACAATATCAATAGTTCATGTTCATAGTTCATTGTTACAATCTATATAGAAGATATAATTTTGTTTCCAGTTTCTCTAATAATATACCAAGTACTTAAAAAATTCAATGTGAATATACATATATAAGCGAATTAATTAAATCGTCCAAAAACAAAAATTGCTACATTTAACAAAACATGAATTAACAAACAATATTATTAAATATTATTTTAATAAATGTATCCATAAATATTTATTCCATTTAACAACGCAACACAACTCCAAACATAATAATATTATTTTTCACATACCTAAACGAAAAAACTGGTAAGTTACAAGCGGATGAATGCACAAATTGACACTAGCGACAATAGCCGCTTCACAAATACCAGATCGAATCATTTTATAAGCTTCCGCCATAGCGAAATGACTCGAGCTACATGCAGTATCAATGTTATACGATGGTCCAGTAACGCCGAGCCAATAAGAAATTCTGCTTGCTATCATGCCTTTACTGCATCCAAGAATGGGTAATCCAGCAATCTATTAGCAATCATAATATAATTTTCATACATATGTATATAAATATTTTCCCCATATTTAACAATATCTTTGTATACATATTAATATATTTATTCACTTTTAAGAGCGCATTTGTTTTATCTGATATTAATTCATTGAATAACCAATGTGAACCACATACGTGAGATTTTTCGTATACTAAATCCATATATGTATCACAAACACTTGTTGCTGTAATAACGCTTGTGTTTGTTCCTTGTAATTCTGCGGGATTTATACCTGCATCAACAATTGCTTCATAGGTATGCTCAAGTAATATTCTATATCCAGGATCAATCATATGAGCTTCTTTGACCGATATGTTAAAGAATTCTGCGTCAAATTTTTCTATATTATTGATTTTTCCTATTCGAGGAGGCATCTCGAAGATATCTGTTAAAATTAAAAATAATTTTGATAAATATAATATTGTCATACTGTTAAGTCATGGATAATAAATTATACTAAAATATTTGTAAAGATATATTTTATATATGTAATTTTATTTATTTATATAAGTGATTATATGTGAACATTTTCCCCCAGATAGTTTCGAGAAAAAATTTTATTACAGTTGGTCCAGCGTTGATGATCGCTCGAACCAAGATCCATTTTATTGAAAAGATTGTCCTGAAATTCTTTTATATTTTTACAATTAGGAAATCGTCCGGCAATGCCAGAGATAACTATTTCTTCTTCAGCATCTACGCTGACATATGGATTGAACCGCTTGTTATTTTCCATCTTCCAAAGAATGTCAATTCTGTAAAGAGATACCAGAACTTTATTTCAGTGTTACATCAAGCGACGCGGTAGCGTCGCGACGCCAAGTATATAAAAAAAACGTTTCGGCTTGTTCAACGGTTTGCCTATTGCCTATGTACAGGGGCCGCGACGCTACCAAGTAGCTTATCCGGAGTTTTACGTCTAA